GACGGCCGTTTCCTAGGGGGGCGGACCCGCCCGCAGCCGTAGGCAGCCCCCAACAGTCTGCTCAGCCACAACCAGGCCGTCCCTACCACACGGTAGGGGGGTCGGTTCCCCTTCACACCACAGGGACCACTCAAGGCCCAAGTTGTATGGTCCTGCACCGGCCAGGGTGGACTCGGGACAGCACTTCACGCCAGCCCTGGGGCCACGTCAGTTCCCCACCCTCTGCGGGGTCCCAGATAAGACCACGCAGGGCAAACGTGGGGAGGCTCACTTACCCAGAGGGCTGAGGGCAGCAGCCACACTCTCCCCGACGTTCTTCAGGAAGTTCACGCTGGGGTCCTCTGACGGGCCAGCTTCGGTTTTTAGAGACAAAAATATCGTCAATTCAACGTCTTTGATATCTGTCACCTCCACGCCAAGGCCCGTCACACCGTGACCTCCGTCCTGGGCGTCCGTCCTCCTGGCCACACTCAGCACTCCCGCCTGCTCCCTCCCTGCCGCCCCACCCTCGGGCCTCTCCGTCACCCAGGACCACTCCCCCTTTGTGCGTGACATGAGCAAGGGCTCAGTACACGGCATGTAAACACTGACCACATCCCAGACATGTCATTCGTTCAAAACCACACGAGGAAGCAGGTGGCATGGTGGTTAAGATGCTGGACTCCCACATGGCCAACTGTGGTTCGAGTCCTGAACCCAGTGGCTTAAAAGTCACGCTGAGTACATGTGAGTCCATGCCCAAAACCCCAAGAGGAAAATGGAGGAGGGATTGTGGCGTGGTCATCCCCTCAGGGGGTGACTTCTCGCTTTCTGTCTGTCACTCCAGCAAGTGCACACGCTGCACAGTAAGAATCTCTCAGGGAGGGAAAAAGTCCCCAAGGACATGGTGACATTAATGCAGGTGAGTGGCCCTGAACCCTCGGGCACCTGCGTCTGCCCACGTGTGAAATGGGGACAACACTCGCCCCTCGCAGGGTCCTGCGAGGATTAACCGCTGTGGGTGCTGCGACACACCCAGGCCCGGCACGGGGAAGGCGAAGCTGACGCCCGGTAACTCTGCCCGCCCTTCCACGCACACACACCCTTCTGCGGCACACACACCCGCCCTTCCCAGGCACACGGGCAGCCCGCCCTTCCACGCACTCACACCCTTCCCTGGCACACGGGCTGCCCACGCCACACTCTCACTGTTCAGAAGCCAGTTCCAACAAGCCTCACCTGGTTCTGCCGCGGGGTTGGGGCGGGTGTCCCCGGCCCGAGGGGGACGGGGGCTCCAGTTCCCTGGTGGCCCCATCTCCCAGCCTGGCCACCCAAAGTGCCCGTGTTTCAGCTTCCGGAGCCAGCGGCTGTGGGAGAAGCCCTGGGAGGGGTAGGCAGAGGGGCGGGCGCTGGGCGCGGGCTCAGACTGGGCTTCACAGGCCCCGGCCGCCTGAGCCCCCGAGCCCCGAGGCCTGCTCACCTCGGAGAGGTGCCCGAAGGGGCTGGGGAAGGCCAGCTTGCTGTGCTCCCTGTGCAGGCCCCGCCCCTCGCAGGCGCCACACAGGTCATAGTCGGGGCACACGCTGCACTTGTAGCGGGTCCCCACCACAGGCCCATTGCAGCCGTCACAGATCACGTTGGGGTGCACCATGTTGCGGGGTGCCTCCTGAGCACACGGGGGCCGGTGGTCCCGCCGGCACTCCTTCTTCTCTGGAGGGAGGGCAGAGAGCGCACAGGTGAGCCCTGGACCGCCTCTCACCGCCTGCTGTCGGACCAGCGAGGACCCCAGCCCTGCCCTGACGCCGTGTGCACGTGGGGTCTGGTTACTCAGGTGACAGTGGTGGCGCAGCCTGAGGACCTGCTCGGAGGTTCCCTGTCCCACATGTGGTCTGGCAGCGGAGGGAGCCATCTGCACACCACTGGCCTTGCTCCCACCAAATCCCCAGAGCTGCCCGCTCCGGGCCACCAGACCACACCCCAAGGGTGGGTACCGACCACTTTCTTGAGCCAGACGGCATTGGCGGTCAGTCCCGGAGGCGACTCGGCAGAGAGCGCCTGGCTTCGGTATTCGGTACGCCCAGAGCAGCCTGGCCCTTTTGTTCCCAGTGCAGAAGGCGCACGCGTGCCCGGGCAGGGAAGCACACCCAGCAGGGCCTGGCCACGCCACAATCCCTCCTCCTCCCGCTCTCGTCCCGTCAGCATCCAGGGCACGCACGCACACGGCACGTTCTCCAGGTCCAGGGGCCAGGACTCAGACTCCGACTGGCCAAGAGGAAGCTGGCCTCCACACGGCGCCCCCGGGGCAGCCCCTCACCTTTGATGTAGACCCGGAAGATGTCATCCTTCACGTAGGACATGGCCATCGTCAGCTCCTCGTCACTGGAAAAGGCGACCAAGTCCCCGTCCTCATCTGGAGTGTGGAAGAGACAGCACGTGTCAGACAGCAGCCGCTGCACTGGGCTGGGCCTATGTGAGCACACGCGGGGCTGTGGCCCGGAGCCCACCCGCTCGAGCCAGAGGGGCGGCTGGAGCGAGGCTGCGTTCACCGTTCACTCTGCCCCTGCCCGGGGGCGAGCGCTCCAGCCTGGCCAGGACCACCGCTGCACAGTGGAGGCATCACACGTGTCCCCGGGGACGGCCGCAGCAAGTGTCCACAGGTACGGTCAAGGCACGTGTCCACGGGGACGGCTGCCCCTTTGACAAGCACCAGCTCAGTCCCCATCTGAGCGAGCCCAGGCGCACTGTGGGAGATTCCCGCAGGGACCTTCTCCCAGCCGCCCCCCAGGCTTGGGCTCCTTGCGGTTCACAAGTAACAGTCGCCCCGTCTGCCTGCTTCTCCCAAAGTGGCGTTGAGAGGCACCGCAAGCAGCCCATCCTGAGCTGATTCACCCATCTCCTCCGCGAGCAAGAGGGACGGCACCCAGCAGCCGGGCATGGTCACCGCGGCCGTCCCCGTGGGCACGTGCTGTGCCCGCCATACTCAGGGCAAGAACCGGGCAAGAACCGGAGCCTTCCCAAGTG